AGCTGGTGACTATTTAAGAAAGAAGGGTATTGATACTTGACTATACCTGGAGTGTATAGAAATAACGTTTCACATCCATGGTCATGTTGTATATAAAAGGTTGTATTATTGTACGATACTGGCCGTGCATATAGCTGTGTGTCGAAACACATGCCATATTTTGTTGAAACTTGTGAGAACACCAGTAGATGGTTGTAGAGCCCTGTTTGTTCCAATACGACGTGGATGCTTGAAGTCAGTCTAAGACGTCACACGCTGTGTAATAAGGATACATAGGACGACATACACTGGAACGTGTGACGCTACTATGAAGATCTGGAACATACTGATCTGTGTGTGGATTGGCGTTATACATGGAGCTATGCTAGACAACGGTGAGTATGCATGTGAAATGTCTACCCCTTTAAAGTACACTTACACATACAAATAATTATTCCGTATTAATGGAATTAGTTCAACGCCTTATGAGTCCCCCAGTCATTGACAAACATGCTAACGTAATTTGGTAGTCACGCGGAAAGCCCAGCGTTTGATTACAAACGTGTGAAGTCTATTGAAGCATTGTTCCTAATGGATACGTACTATGGTATGCGTTGTCTCGGTATTAATTATTGGACTGGTGTTTTAGGATAACATACCATACACTAATCCAGTGTATTTTGCTGATAACGTATCTAAATGGAGTTATGTGAAAACTAATAAGCGTGATTATGGTATACATACATGACAACCAACACATCATATAGGTTAAACTGTTCTCGAAACTCTAATGATGATTCCTTTGCTTCCCAGTTGAACTTGTACTGACGAGCTCACCATTATCAGCAACAGATCAGACAGAGAAGACTTCACCTTGATCTGTAGCATCACGTCTGGTTCTGTGGGAAACATTGCATGGTTGCAGAACAATGCATCGAAGGTCATTACGCAATGAGGTCGGCAGTTGTAATAAGCAACCACCCCTGTGGAGGAATAATAACATCAACCGTTTCAGACAGAGCTGCAATGACACGGTCCACAGTATAGAGTTTAGGTTCAACTCCACTACAGATCAGGGAGGATGGCAGTGCGGGAAGTATGTAAACGACAATAACATATACCCGAGAAGCAACATTCATAGTGTAGGTGGGTATGACGTATTAACTGTATTCATTTTATATTTTGACATTAGAGTAAATTGTGTAAGCAATGTAATCATCTATTGGCATAAAAATAGATTTAATAAACACGTCAGTGACATAACACGTGATGTTTGAAGACAAACAGCATTCTGAGTAAGGATTAACACATTATCGAACAAATCTTTGCTGAAATATATTGAATTATTTGGAATCTGTGTCTGTTTTAATTTCACTGTGTAATAACAACGACTGAAATAAATGGCTCTGTTCTCCAAGCCAGATTACCGATAAGCATTCTCATCATTCACAGATATAAACACTCGTCTCACGGGTAAGGAGGAACATGCCCTAAACATGAAGTCAGTGACCAATCTCCTTTCAGGTGTTGCAAGTCCCAAGTCACGTCAGTCTTCATCAACAACGACCCGGTATATGGAGACTACGTCCGAACCTGGAGACAATGACTTCACAGAAAGGTTGTTCTCTCTCAGATGAACATATCATACTCAGGATATCTACAAGATAACGAAATACTAATCAATGGAGCATGAACAGTTTAAATAGGAAGTCAGACCAGACAGTAGGAGTTGTAACTGAACGATTTACAGGTCGTTACAGTGGTGAAATACTTTATGTAGACATAATAATTGGAAGACAGTTTCACTGTGTCAATTGTTATTTATGTTATTATGAAAAAAAGTGTAACGTCTCTGACATGCATGTTATCATGGGTGTATGCTGTTTCCTAATGGGAATACTTGGAATTAACTGTAACCAAGTATATCTGCACAATACCAAGTGTTATGTGGAGCGACCTTTGACTTAATATTATGCACATAACAATGCGATATATTTGGAAATGTCAGGCTGAGAGTAAAAACGTCAAACATTGGGTATTATACATCTATATCAAATAATACGTGAATTAATTGCCATTTTATGACGTATTGCTTACCACAAAGGTTAGCGGTAGCTATATAGCTGATCCACAACGATCGTCAAACAATGACAGCAACATTTTACTTCTTTGATTGGTATTCTAGAAGTTGAGGAGATGAAGTATGAGGACAATATTTATGGATATACATAGATCTCTAATACTGTTGTCAAGCACTGGCTTGAGAACGACATCAAAATCTATGTCGAAACGTCGCCTATGCAGAATAATGAATAACATTTTCCTCATTCTTCAGCTACATTCTAATTTCGTATTATGACGTCACAGTAACGTCCTCATTGATCGTCCATTACACTATCGTCCCGAGACTTTTCTTTTAACTTATAGATTACCGTTTTACCTATTCATGGTTGTAGGCTTTTAAAAGCAAAAACACCAGTAAGCATTTTATGCGAAAGGCGAGTGGTTTTTCTTTTGGCCTCAAAAGTAACATGAATAAGGATTAAGATATTATCGAACAAATCGTTGCTTAAATATACTTCATCTATTTGGAACATGGGTCTCTTTCAATTTCACTGTGTATCTTAGGAAAATATTTAAAAAAACAAGGTCTACTGAAAAGAATGGCTACGTTCTACAAGCCTAATGCTTAAGAAGTAGGTTCATCATATAAACAGAGATAAACACTCGTCTCTCAGGTAGGGGGATATGCCCAAACGTCAAGTGAACGACCAATCTACTTTCAGTAGTTTCAAGTCCTGTCACGTCAACTCAGTCTTCACGTCAACAACGACCAGGTATATGGAGACTACGTCCGAACCTGGGACAGTGACACCACAGAAAGGTAATTCTCTCTGATATCTACATATCGTACTCACTTCCTATTCCAGTTCCGATAATTATCTTTGACATCACAGTAAATAGTCAGCAAAATTAAAAACAGCCAAAAGCTGATGTCAGTGACAGACACGTGCGGTTTGAAAACAACCGAAACATCAAGTCAGTGACCAATCTCCTTTCAGGTGCTGAAAGTCCTGTCATGTCAACTCAGTCCTCGTCAACAACGACCCGGTCTATGGAGACTACGTCCGAACCTGGAGACAGTGACACCACAGGAAGGTAGTTCTCTCTGAGAGTTTCAGTTCCTGTTCCACTGGTGAAACATTGAAGAACATAAAATATTGAGTTTAGAAACTGACCTGACATTCGGCAAGATTGTCAGACTGTGTTTTGTATTAACCGTTATGAAAAGGTGGTGTATGTTGTTTCATAATGCGAATGCGATGTGGAAATGCGAAAGAGGAAAGTAAACACTCAAAGATATACAAAATAATATGTGAATTAGTTTGGATCCTATTTGTGACGTATTGCTTACGACGAAATTTGAACAATGACAACAACATTGTAATCATTGGAACGTCATAACTATTATGAGATACGCCATTGAAGTTTTAACGATTTGCTCAAAGTAATTACTCTACCGAAAACTGATGCGAAAGTGTAGCGAGGCCTCGGTGATATAACGTTTACTTGGCAACAGGTAACAATTGCTAAGGATTTCGTTCTTCTTAATTTGAAGTTAGTTTCTGTCCTATAAATTCTAAAGGTACCCGTCTTAAGAGAATCTCAATAATCTGAATAGAGACGTGCATGACAACAATCTCTTACATGCGAACATCTATTTAGTCATTGAATTGCACTGCAATATTTATTATAAGCTATTAACCATCCATAATGGGAACAAAGTACACTGGTCAATACAAGCATACAAAACAAGGCCTCTTGACGTGATCAGTGTAGAGACGATATTGCATATCAGTTAGCGATTTTATTGTCGAGAATGATATGTTGTTAGAGTGAGTGAGTGAGTGGGTTTAGTTTTACGCCGCTTTTAGCAATATTACAGCAATATCACGGCGGGTGGAAAACAGAAATGGGCTTCGCACATTGTACCCATGTGGGGAATCGAACCCCAGGTCTTCAGCGTGATGAGCGGACGCTTTAACCACTAGGCTACCCCACCGCCCGATTTGTTGTTAGAAGTGATTTTACACCAGTCAGTGTTTGTAGTGTAGTGACACCCAGACATAATTATTCCTACTCCAGTATGACGTTGTCGATGTTGTTAGAAATGAAAGGTCATCTTATCAACCAGGTCACTGAGTCTGACTTTCACAACCCTGGGATTTATGCAAGCATAACACATTAAAAGTAAAGTAATGTAGCGCATGTTACCTCCCCTGACATTTCAAGCTGTGTCCTTATTATATCTAGAACCACATTTTGGGGTACTAATGTTCAGTGAGACCTTTACATGACATTTTCTAACACTGCAGACAGACCCGTGAAGATCCGGGTTAGAACTGATCTTCAGTAACCCATGCTTGTCGTAAGAAGCGACTAACGGGATCGGATCGTCAGGCTTGTTGACTTGGTTGACACATGTCATCGGATCCCAATTGCGAAGATCGATGCTCATGCTGTTGATCACTGGATTGTCTGGTCCAGACTCGATTATTTACAGACTACCACCATATAGCTGGAATATTGCTGAGTGCGGCTTAAAAAACAAAACCCTCACTCACTCACTCACAATCCACACATATAACCTCTCAATCGTGACAAGCTGTATCTGTCTGTGTCCTGGACCAACCATTATACTGTCTTTCAGTCTCTACAGATGACGATGATTCAGTTACCATCAACATCGTGGTTGGGGCTGTATGTGGAGGCGTTTTGCTTGCCGTCGTTATCGTGGGCATCGTGTGTATCCGACGGAAGACAAAGCAGCCCGTGGATATTTGTACTGAACTGTAAATCACAGGTTTCGCTGATATAACATTTTGGCAAAACAGAAACAATTATGTCTAACCTAAAAGGCAGTTTAAATACTGGAAGTAATATCATATATATATTGTGCGTTTACAATCAGGTATTTTATTGATTGTCACAGTAATATCTTGTTAACGGTCACGGTGCAGCATAACACCGAACATTTCTCTTTCCAGGTCAGAAGGAAAATATCAAAGGAGAAAAGAACGTTACGGCGTGAGTATATTACAATGACATACCTGGAAACATTTTACACAAAACATGGAAGCTCACGCTAATCCAAATTCACACAAACACATTTGAACACATACTCACGGGGACGGTGGGTAGCCTAGTGGTTAAAGCGTTCGCTCGTCACGCCGAAGACCCGAGTTCGATTCCCCACACGGGTACAATGTGTGAAACCCATTTCTGGTGTCTCCGCCGTGATAGTGCTGTATTATTGCTAAAAGCGGCGTAAAACTAAACTCACTCACTCACGGATGCTCCATGCACACAGAGAAAAGGGCTAATATATGATGCCACACGTCTCCTTCTTCTCCCACTCCCTTACAATGTGAGATGTTTAAAGTTGTTTGTTGAAGATGATTTACATTGCTTGTCTTTGTCACACATATAAGTTATTTCAGTTTTCTTCCAGGACTCAAGTTTATCAAAACGCGGCAAATTGCGACATGGGTATGTTTTATCAATCATCTTATTGTCATTTGTACAACTCAATGATAAAATAACTGAATTTTGGAATCAGACTGCAGGTGGCAACTGTGGTACAGGACCTCTTCTACATGGAGTCAAATATTTTGTATTATACTGCCGATACTTACCTGAATAAGAGCTCCTTTGACGTCCCCGTCTCTCCAATCAACGTTATCCTTGCAATGTTTCATGTGTGATATTCCACGTTCTGTTATGAGGTGTTTTGTATATTTTAGTCGAAAATGAGTTGTATAGACGGTCACGTGATATCTTCCCTACCAACGAAGCTGAAAATCAGGAGGACGACTTCATTATGTCAGGTGACACTGCCTTATAACATGTCTCTTTTAAATGTTACAATGCAGAGACTTGAAAGGTCGATCTGATCCCATTCTATAATTTTTGTCCTAACTATACTACCGACAAAAATAAAGGAAATGATGAAATGACAGTGAATGTGTAATTGCTCTAAATGTCCACAAAATCAATTTCGGGCGTGAAGTTCAATATCTTGGGTATCCACCATATTTGGCGACACATACGACACCTTGATGGCATACTGTTGATTAACCTCCCGGATGTTTGCCCGAGGTATTGCCCGCCATTCCGCCTGAAGAGCTACCCCAAGGTGGGCCAGATTGACGGGTGTACACGGTCCTCCGGCCGAGAACGTCCCACAGATGCTCAATTGGGGAGTTGTCACGGGAACTTAGAGGGTCAGTCCAAAAGTCTGTATACCCACTCTCGTCGGGTTAGGGGTGACAACTTGGGCACGATGTGGTCTGGCATTATCATCTTGGAATTCAAAATTCCTGCCGACAATTCCTAGCCAGTGGAGCCACGACAGGACAGAAAATTTCGTCAACATATCGCTGACCAGTCAAGTCTCGATTAACGATGACCAGATCCGATCACCTGTCATTGTGTAAAACGCCCCCATACCATGGCACTACCGCCCCGCCGCACTGATCATGGTCAATAATTGCCGCTCTGGAATACCGCTCTCACCGCTACGATGCCAACAACGTTTTTCTGCCATCTGGTGAATCGGAGGCAAAACCTTGACTCATCCGAGAACGTAGTGTAATGCCAATGGCGCAAAGCTGATGCTGCCTAGCCCTAACCAGTCTTTGGTGCCTATGGTGGGCTGTGAAGGTGACACACTTCACAGGCCGCCTTGCTTTCAGACGGGTTTGATAGAGGTCGGTTCTTAACGGTAAACTACTGAAGTTCGTCGTCCAGTTATTGTACGGAATTCCCCTATTGATAGCAGGTGCTGATTCGAACCTATTGCGTAGGGCCATTAATGTAATGAGACGATCTTGTCTAGGGTGTCGTTGAGTTTGGTCTACCACGCCCAGGTCTCATTGCAGCCCCACCCGTTTGACGGTAATTTTGTCCCACAGGCTTGAAATTACACTTTTGATTTTACCCAACATACGGACACAAGTGGCACAGTGGGTGTTCCCCCTTGTTACCACGTAAATTGTAATAAAACGTAAATTGTAATAAAATTGACGTAAATTGTAATACCCATATTGTAATAAAATTGACGTAAATTGTAATAATTTTAGTTGCGGTAAAATGAAATAAATATTTACGTAAATTATAATAACAGTTTTAAAATCACTCGTAAATACGCGGGTGTTTGTTTTTCGTTGCATTTCATACATCAAATAAGCTTGTTAG